TCGCATTATTAAAAAAAGTCTGTGAATTGTTAAGTTTATGAGCCTAATATAAGGCTCGCGAGCCTACTATGAGGCTCAAGCCGAGCTGAGCCTATATAAGTAAGGCTCAGCTTGACTCGAGCCTAACTTACAAACTCAGGCTTGAGCCGAGCCTAAGACTTTTGGGCTCAGCTCGGCCTATGAGGAGCTTTAATTTTTATATTAGAACAGATAAATGAATGTTGCAGGCAAATATGTATTAGTAATACATATTTGCCTGCAACATTCATTTATCTGTTCTAATATAAAAATTATTACTTGAGTTGATCGTTGATCGGCAATGGTCACGGGATGTCCCCGGGAACATGGGAAACGTTCACAAATCTAAGGTCATCTAAACTTAATTTCCCAATCATCTGCGCAGAAAATGTATTTACCTGTCTTATTTTCTCCTTTCCAATATGTGAACTACTAAAAAGAAAATAAATCTTCCTAGTTCTTTACTTCTCTTTTTGAAAGCATCATCCATAGGTAACTGGATAACCCATTAAGGATGATCCGTTACACGATATGATTTGAAAGTTGATCCTACAATTTAACATCTTTTCAAAGTTAGATATACACTTAACTTGTTAAACTAATGGAAGACATTTTAGAAGGTTTTGATAAATAAATATTTATTATGCACTCTATTACTTTATTTTATTTTACCAAATTAATTATTAATTTCTTGTTGTAATGTTGTTGTTGGAATGTTGTTGTAATATTGTTGTTTAAAAGAAAATATTATTAAAAGCAAGGTGTTCGAAACTGTTCACCATATGATAAGTAACAAGGATAAAAATAATAATGATAATGATAAGCTGGATGAAGATGAATTTTTATTAGTAAGTTTTTATGTATGTGATCTTTCTGTAGAAAAAAAAAATACATAATAAAATACATAATATTTAGTTACCACCAGGTTTGGGTAGACAACTATCACGTGAAGATGTTCGTCGAGAATTAGAAGAACGTTATTTAATGCCTAATACATCGTTTCCTACTTCATGGCTTTCTAAATGTCAACAGTAAGCGTAATAACAGTTAGTAGTAGTAAAAATAGTAGTAACTTTTTTTTTTTTTTGAAGAGATGTTAAATTTGATTGATTTTTGTGATGATTTTATGATTGAAATAGATTTTGGGAGCGTGAAACGGATTTTATGTCTCTCACTTTATTGAATCCTTCAAAACCTCGAACTTCAATAGAAATAGTGAGGGAAGGACTGGATGGGATTATAACTGGATACAGAGAGGCATGCATTATTATCAATTATTATTATTTATCATCATCATTACAAATTATATTATTTTTATTTCTCACATTTTTATTATTGTTGAAATATTAGGTAATAACAGGGGAATCTAACTTAACTTCCCGAAATTCAACTTCTTTGTTACGAGAACCAGGATTACGAAGTGATTTTGTGAGAGGCACAACAAATCAATTTCCTTTTGCCCCAGGTAAATTATTTTATTACGTTTCAACTTATTTGCTGTGTTCAATTTATTATTTTTATTTAACTTTTTTGTTATTCTTACTTCCCTTTTTTCTTTAGGTGGTTTGGAATCAGAAGTATTAATTGAGGCAGTAGATGAAATTTCTAAAAATCTTGAAGAATCTTTGAAATTTGATGAAGGTTTAATTATATATACATATATATTTATAATATAGATATGAATATATAGAAATATTTTAACTTAACCACATGTTTAAAATATTTTAATAGATGAAATATTAACTATACCTCCCGGATTTGAACGTGGTTTGATTTTTGAAGGTAATTTTTCGTCGATCATTCTTTATTCTTAAAGATAATATGAAAATTAATATGATAACAATATATTAGATGGACAAAAGCAAATTACACCAATGCCGAATAAAATCGTGTCCGGATTAAATGTTGCAGATATGATCACTTTTGATGATGATGATGATAAAGAATTTAAAGAATTAATTGGACCTATTGAAAGTTCAAATTCAGAGGTGTTATTATTTATTATTTTCTGTACTTGCTTGTACATTTCTGAATAAATTTATATTTCTTGTCTTAATATATTTAATATATTCAAATTATTCAAATTATTTTCAAATTAGCATATTCAAGTTGATGAACAAATTAAAGAACAAGTGGATAAAGATTTACCTCCTGCTAAAGATGAAATGGAAGAAACTGTTGATAGCTTATTACCAACTATGGTAATTATTTAATATAAAAATATATAAAATATTTCTCATATTAAATTATTCTAAATTATTTTTTTAATGATAGCCACCTCCTCTCGAAGGTGAAAATGTATCCAGTACATCAAAAAGTACTGTTATTGCTGCTCGAAAAAGAGAGTGGGCTCATGATGTAGATATATCAATGGGATTCCCTGATTTCTATGAAAAAGTACCTGAAATGGCTCATAAGGTATTTATTTATTTATTTATTTTATTTTTATTATTTACATTTTCTATATTTATATAATTCTTTATAATTCTTTATAATTTGGAAATTCTTTCAATTTATCAAATAGTATCCATTCGAGTTAGATACATTTCAAAAGAAAGCTGTATATTATCTCGAAATTGGAGAATCTGTTTTTGTGGCAGCTCATACATCTGCGGGTAAAACTGTAGTTGCAGAATACGCTATTGCTTTGGCTACCAAGAATATGACACGGTGAATTTTATTTTATTTATTTTATTTTATTTATTTGAATCTATTTTTTTATTTTTTATTTTTTTTCATTCGATTGAATATTTTAATTTAGATTATTATAAATATTATTGTCATCATGTATATAGAGCAATATATACTTCACCAATTAAAGCTCTCTCTAATCAAAAATATCGTGATTTTAAAAATACCTATAATGATGATGTGGGTATCCTCACGGGAGATGTACAAATTAAACCTGAAGCATCATGTTTAATTATGACCACCGAAATCTTGAGGTCGATGTTATATAAAGGTGCAGATTTAATTAGAGATGTTGAATTTGTGATATTTGATGAAATTCATTACGTGAATGATACCGAGGTTTAGAAATTATTTAATTTTATTATTATTATTATTATTATTATTATTATTTAATTATTTAAATTATTAATTAAATATTTTAATCTAAATTTTTTATTCATTCAGCGTGGTGTGGTTTGGGAAGAAGTTATTATTATGCTTCCTGCACATGTTAATCTTATTCTTTTATCTGCTACTGTTCCAAATACCAAGGAATTTGCTGATTGGATTGGGTATGTAAATTGAATAATAATGAATAATAATAATAATTACTATAATATTAATAATAATAATTGATTGAAAATTAGTCGAACCAAGAAAAAAGATATTTATGTAATTAAAACATTAGAACGTCCTGTTCCCTTGGAACATTATTTATACGCAAATAAGGAAATTTATAAAATTGTTGATAAAAACCGAAAATTTCTGGTCAATAAGTATGTTTTATTATGATAATTTTTATTATTTATTTACTTTCCCTCTTGAAAATCATTTATTTATTTTTATTTATTTTTATTTATTTAAATTTATTTAAATTTATTTTTGTTTTTGTATATGGTAGTTGGAAACTAGCCAATGATTCATTATCAAAGAAGGATAAAGAAAAGAAAGGAAGTGCTTCTGGTGGTCGTGGATCAGGGGGAAAAGGATATAATCGACGTGGAGGACAATCTTCTCAAATGGTACACATGAATACTTATATAATATTTTTATATAATATCTGTATACACAAATGAATATATATAAATGAAACATTAAATTTATATGGGGGTTTTTTTTTCATATAGGATAGAAGTCAATGGATTGGTCTTATAAACCTCCTCAAAAAGAGAGATCTTCTTCCCGTAGTCGCTTTCACATTTTCCAAGAAAAAATGTGAAGAATATAGTCGAACATTAAGTAATTTTGATTTCTGTTCTTCGAATGAAAAGTCCCAGATTCATGTCTTTATTGAGAAGAGTTTAACCCAATCACGTATAAGAGGTAACAATTATTTATTTTATTTTATTTTATTTTATTTTATTTTATTTTATTTTTTATTTGTTTGTTACTTATGTTTTATTATTCAATTTTGAAATTAGGATCGGATAGAGAATTACCACAAATAATAAGGATGCGTGAATTATTAAGTAGAGGAATTGCTGTACATCATGGAGGATTACTTCCAATTATCAAAGAAGTAAATTATTATTATTTTTTTTTTTTCGAAATTAATTATTCATTTTAATAAATTACCAATAAAATTTTTAATAAATAAATTATTCATAGATGGTCGAAATATTATTTTCCAGAAGTTTAGTGAAAGTACTTTTTGCCACAGAAACTTTCGCTATGGTATTATTATCAATTATTACTATTATAATTTCCTTTATCCTTTTTATGAAGGAGGGGTTAATTATTATTTATTATAATTAGGGTGTAAATATGCCTGCACGTACTGTAGTATTTTCCGGAACTCGAAAGCATGATGGAAAAACTTTTCGAGATTTATTACCTGGTGAATATACACAAATGTCGGGTCGAGCTGGTCGTCGAGGTATAGATTCTACGGGAATGGTTATAATTGCTTGTGGTAAAGATGAAGCTCCTGAAGTAAGTAAATTAAGTAAATAAATAATGATAGATAGATAGATATATAAGAAAGAAAGAGAAAGAAAGAAAGAAAGACAGATGATATTAATTAATTAATTAATTAATTAATTAATTCTACTTTTTTAGACATCAAATTTGAATCAAATGATTTTAGGTATTCCCACAAAGTTGGAATCACAATTTCGTCTGACGTATAATATGATTTTAAATTTATTACGCGTTGAAGCGATACGTGTGGAAGAAATGATTAAACGTAGTTTTTCTGAGAATGCGAGTCAAAAAATGTTACCAGAAAAACAAAAATTATATGATGAGGTAATAATTAAATTATTATTTTTTTTATTATCTATTTTTTTATTTATTTATTTATTTATTTGTTTTATTTTATAATTTATTTTTTTTTTCGTTGTAGAGTGAAAAAGCTTATGATAAAATTGATAAACTTGATTGTACAATATGCAATGATGATATAAATGAATATTATGATTATTCAACAAAAATTATAGAATTAAATCGTCCACTATTAGAGAGAATTATTTCTCATCCTCAAAGTCGAAATTCTTTAAGCGCAGGGAGAATTGTGATTATTAATCATGCTGTAAGTTTGAATTTTTGATAATTTATTAATTCCTGCTTTTGTAATATTAAATTAATTTAACTAATTCTATTAATTCTATTCATAAATGATATATAGTTTTACGGAAATATTGTAGGAGTAATTACAAATTCATTACCGGATAAAAGTTCATTTTGGGTTTTTATGATTTTGGATAAAAATATTCTACAAAAAAATCGAGGTTAATATTTCAATTTATTTAACCGTAATTATTATAATTATTATTTTCATAAATTATTAATCAGTGACAAGTCCATTTAATGTCCATTAATTTTAATTCTTTTTTTTTCCTTTTTTTTTTGTAATAATAATGTAATAATGATGATGATGATGATATAATAAGACTCTAAGAATACACCTTTACCAATTACTAATATTAATATCCCTGATCAAAATTCGTGTATTCATAAGATTGAATGTTTACCTTACACCAATATTTCCATTATCACTAAATCTACCATAAAAGTAAGATATTTATTATTATTTCTTTAGTTTTTTTTTTTAAATAATTTAACTCTTTTTTTTTTTTTTATAAAAAAAAAAAAATAGTTAGAATCAACTTCTGTCTCTACAGATCCTCGTGAAATATCTAGAGTCACTCAAGAATTATTACGATATGCAACGGAAACTCGGAATTGTAAATTTTAATATTCACATACTCACTTATTAGTATTTTATTATTCTCATCACTTTTATCACTTATATTATTCATATTATTCATTTATTCATTCATTTATTCATTCATTTATTCATTATTCATTTATTCATTCATTTATTCATTCTTTCATTTATTCATTCATTCATTCTTTCATCTCCCGGGATTTCATTATTAATAGTTGGAATTATAGAAAACGAATGGCCAAAAATAAAAGATGTAGATTTTCATGAAAATTGGGACATAAAAGTTAAATATATGGATCGCCTGAAAAGATTTAAATGTAGATTTTGCCCGGATTTGAATAAACACGTGAGAAATAATAATTCATAATTAATTAAGTTTAATAATATTTTTATTTTATTTTTATTTATTTTTATTTTTATTTTTCAATAGTATGCACTTATTCACGGTGAACGTCTCCTTAAAAATGAAATTGAGGATTTAAAGTTTACAATATCCGGTCAAAACCTTGAACTTTTACCAGATTATCAACAAAGAATTATGGTGCTTAAGAAATTAGAATACATTGATCAGAATGGTACTGTTCAATTGAAAGGACGCGTCGCATGTGAGGTAAATTAAAAATGAAATTTCGTATTTTATTATTATTATTATTTATTTATTTATTTATTTATTTATTCTAAAAAAAAAAATTTATAGATCAATTCAAGTGATGAATTAATTGTTACAGAATTAATTCTTGATAATGTTTTAAATAAATACGAACCATCGGAAATTGTTGCTTTATTATCATGTTTTGTATTTGATGAGAAGAATGATGATAATAATAAAGCTCTAGAAAATTTGCCACCAAAATTACAAGAGGTAAATATATATTACAATAATATTTATTATATAATTCAAAAATACTGACCTACTTTATTCAAATTATTTTATTTTATTTATTATTTATTTGAAAGGGAATTGCTGAAATAATAGCCGTAGCGGAACGTGTCGGTTCAATTCAAAAGGATAGTAAACTTGACATTGATTCAGAGAAATATATTCAATCACTTAGATTTGGTTTGGTAAATGTCGTTTATGAATGGGCTGAAGGAGTAGAATTTAAAAAGATAATGGAATTAACGGAAATATTGGAGGGATCAATTGTCAGATGTATTACTCGATTAGATGAAACATGTCGTGAGGTAAAAAGTGCGGCGAAAATGGTAGGTGAACAGACGTTATATAAAAAAATGGAAGATGCACAAGCAAAAATAAAACGTGGCATAGTTTTTGCAACTAGTTTGGTAAGTTGTTATATATATATATATTAAATTTTATATATTAATTATTAATAATTATTAATTTATTATTTATCATTCTTTTAGTATCTATAAAGAATCTTATTATTATTACATGTATTAAAATACATCCTGAGAAATAATTAAAGGTGAATTATATATATATGTGTGTGTATATATATATATATTCTTGTTGTATTATATTAATGAATTACTTTTTTGACTTTAAATATATTATTACATTATTATTATTATTATTATTATTCATTCATTCATTCATTATATTATGATGTATTGATTATTATTATTCTATTATCAAAAATATAAATAATCCCAATTAATTAATTAATTAATTATAAATTAAATCAATAAAATTCTAAAATTTTTAACTGTATAAATAACTATAAATTTAAATTAAATTAAATATAAAATGTCAAATATTAATTATGTTTAAAGAATTTCATACCCAACCAATTCCAAAATATTGAATAAACAGCTACAGGTAATGTAATTGGTATTAATAGACAATAATAACCATCTTTTTTGATCCAATCTAAAGTCTAATAAATATATAATAAATATATATAATGAATTTATATCATAATAAATAAATATAAAAATAAATATAATGAATATATATAATAAGTATAAATTAAATAATTAAATAATAAAAATCAATAATTAAATAATAAATTAATAATTAATTAAATACCGTATTTCCAGTTTCAGGTACATATTCACTAACCACTATTGCATATAAACTCAATACAAACATCCAAAAAGTGAAAAATAAAAGAATGCAACCCCATAAAGCGGCTGTATCAGGAATTTCAGGTTCGGACGAAGATGAATATCTATTATTGGTTGAAATATTATTATTATTCCCTTCCGTTATGTTTGTTATGTTTGTTATGTCTGTTATGTCTGTTATGTCTACATCTCTTTCTATTCCTCTTTCTATTTCTCTTTCCATTCCTCTTTCCATTCTTCTTTCAATTTCTTTTTCCATTCCTCTTTCTATTCCTTCTCTTTCGACCTTTCCCTCTACTTCTCTTTCTCTTTCTAATTTGTTTACTTTCTCTACTACTCTTCCTAATTCTCCCTTTCCCAATTCTCCTCTTTCTACTATTTCTGAATCATTAAAATAATGTTGCTGTTTTCCATCTAAAAAAATGATGATGATTGAAAAAAAAAGATACAAAAAAAAAAAAATTTTTTTTAGTAAATTTGAAAATTAATTTTATTATATTTATTATTATCATTATTATTATATTTATAATATATATATATATAAAGAGTTGATAATAAATTATACCGAGGATTAATGATAAAAAATTATTATGGTTATTATACATATTTAGTATTACTTTTAGTTGTGGTTATTGTTGTGGTGGTTGTGGTAATTTTAGCACGACAGTTTAAAGAACAATAGGAAGATTGTTCAAGGAGTGGTGTGGTCGGTGGTGTGGTTGGTTGTGAGAGCGTTGAAATCGAAGAAGCACTTGAATTTAATGAATTTGTGGTTATAATTGTGTCATCCGTTTCATAGTCCAAACTTGAGGTGGAAAGAAATAATGAATGATTATTAAATTTATTATTATTATTATTATTAGAATTATTATTCGAAGAATGATTATTATTAATAGTTTTTGAAGAATAATGTTGTGATGAATCTGGTGATAAAGTCATTCTTGAAAAAAAAAAAAATAATAATAATAATAAATGTTCGAAATAATTTCAACAATTTGATCTTTTTTATATATATATATATGACCTTTTATTGGAAACCAAGCCACACCGCATTGTCAATAAAACAAACGCCACAATTTAATTATTTATATACTTGATTCTTTGACTGTAATAAATATTATTAACATTATTGAAACATTATGAGTCTAACATATGCATTTGGAAAAAACATAATATTTTCAAGTCAGATATTTATGTTTTCAAAGTATTGCTTTGGCTTTGTGAATTTGAAACCTGTTCTTCCGTAAGTTTTGAAAATTTTTATAATGTAATTTCGTGCATTCAATCGTATTCAATCGTATAATACAACTATTGATATAATTCATCGCCTTTTTTTGTTTGTTTAGTGGGCGTACCCTTTTTTTATCATAATTCCAATCTGATTAGTGCAATTACAATAACTTGAATATTTCTTACATCGATAATACCGATAATATCTTTTATATATATAGATGTTTTAGTAGCATCATTTCGAGTTGTTCAAAGATTTAGCGATTTAACATCTGAAGAGGTATTTAACTTTAATTTCATTTTAACTTTATTTTATTTTATCTAATTTTAATTTCATTTAACTGTATTTGATCTAACTTTTAATTTCATTTAACTTTATTTTTATTTTTTATTTAACTTTAATTTTATAATCTATTTATTTAAAGATATGTGATATGTATATAAGTGCTCAAAAAATTGGTAAAATTGTTGAGAGAGAATACAATGGAACTTCACTTTCACTGGTTATGCAGGTTAGTCATGATTTATAAACTATTATTATATAAATGAAATAATTCATATATATATTGTTTATCAATTAGGATGGTCCTGAAGCTGGTCAAACGGTAATGTCATATTGTAAATACTATTAAAAAAATAAATAAAAATAATTCAATTTTTTTTTTTTAAAAAAAAAAAACTAGGTACCACATTGTCATGTGCATATAATTCCACGTAAAGTAGGAGATTTTGTAGAAAATGATGAAATTTACAAAGAAATTAATAAATCTACCAGAGTGGATAATGAAGAAAGAGCACCTAGAAGTTTAGAAGAAATGGCTAAAGAGGCAGCACACTTAAGACAATTTTTTTAAAAAAAAATAAATTATATTATTATTACTATTATTTATTATTAAATGTAAAAAAAAAAGTAATAATAACAATAATAAAATGATTATAAATAAAAAGGAAAAAAGAAAAAAATATTCAATAATTTTATATAAACAAATCTTTCAATCTATCAGGTTCTTCATATTTTTGTAAATTCAAAATATCAGTCAAAGCTTCATATACCTATATATATATTTATATTTATAATATTTATTAAAAAAAAAAAATTAAATTTTTTTATCTGAAAAATAACAATAGAAAAAAAAAATATTAAATTAATGATATCTTACCACTTTAATATGAGCATTGATTTTAGCAATATCTTGTGTATATTTATTAGATCTTCTAATGTGAAATAATCAATTAATTATTAATTAAACATTTGAACAATAAATCAAAATAAAAAAGTGATGATAATAACTTACTTTTGCAACATTGCTTCTTTTTTCTCAATAAATGCAATAGCTTCATCCAATGTTAATTGAACGTGAAATCCAAATCCAACATTTATATAAATATATGTAGTATCCGGTCTATTAAAGAATATATATGTAAAGATATATATATTATTATTATTATTATTATATATTAAAAGTATTAAAAATATTATTATTGTTATTGTTATTGCTTACACTTTAGCTTGCACATAAAAATTTGATCCTAGATCTACCATGGTTTTTATTTCTTTCAAATCATTTGATTGTATTAAATTGATTTGATTTTTTAATTTGACACTATAAATTATTATTTTTTTTTTATTATTTAATTAAATAAATAAATATTACTATTCTTCTTGTTATATTATTATTATTCTTCTTTATATTATTCTTCTTTATTCTTTTATTTAAAATACTTTACTAATCGGATATTTCTTCATAAATCTTTTCCCTTAAATCCCAGGTTTTTTTTAAGTCAACTTCTAATTTATCATGTAAAAAACTTTCATATTTTGCAATTTTTTTCGTAATATCCTCCTCGGTTCCTGTCGTTGTCATTTTTTTTTATTTTCTCAATATTAACAATATATTATTATTTACAGTATTGTTTTATATTATTATTATTATTACTATTACTATTGTTATTATTATTATTATTACAATATCATTTGAAATAAGTATTTTTTTGAAAGCAACGAAAGAAATATGTGAAATTTTTTTTATACATATTTCATATGATGATTTATATCAGAATCTGCACGTGTAAGAATCCACACGTGGCAAAGTAATAATAATAACAATGGTTCTGATTTGTTTTCCAAGTTTAGACAATTTTTCTCTCTTTACATCATCAAAATTATTAACAACTGAAACATTATAATAATTTTCTTTGTTTTTTTTTTTTTTTTAAAAAAAAAAAACAACAACAAACAAAGCCTTGCTCCAATGAACTTTACTAATAAGTATTATTACCAGACCAGACTTGTATTTATATTATTCATAACAATGAATATTTATATTTCAAATAATAGATTCAATATCAATATTTTTAAATATTTATAATTGTAATTTATGCAAATCCATAATTTTAAATAAAATAAATGCATACTCCTTGAAATTTGTTTATTAAGACAAAAAATGTGGGTTTCAAATCAACCAATAATTAATCAATCTGGTCTGGAATCTTGGAATTACTATTTTCAAATTTTTAAGATCAAAGTGATTAAAGTCAAATAAGTAAAATCAATAATAAAATAAAATCAAATAAGTAAAAATAATAAAGTAAAATCAAAATAAGTAAAATCAATAAAGTAAAATCAAAATAAGTAAAATCAATAAAATAAAATCAAATAAGCAAAATCAATAAAGTAAAATCAAAATAAGTAAATTTAAGTAAAAGTAAATTTAAGTAAAAGTAAAGTAAAGAAAGTAAGGATGCTTTTATTTATTTAAAAATAATAATGAGATTACGTAAAAATTATCTTTGTTATTTACATAATTAATATATAAATATATTACGAAATAGTCAAAAGGAGAAAATAATGATTTTATGAAAAATAGAAAATAAAACTATTTTAACTGCATATTTTATCTTTACTATTCTAAATTAGGAAATAAAATTCTTTTAACATGATATTAATCATGTTCTTTCAATAACGTCTTTGAGAACTAGACTATCGAGTATTTTGTCTCGTTAATATTTTATATACTGTATATATATTACGTCTTATCATTGTGTGACAAACCTTACTTTAATAAAAATTTCACACTATTTTCACATTCAAATTCAAAAAGCAAAAATGTGAACATCACCAAAATTCGACTATTAATGTAAACATTTAGATCTTTTTATTGATAACGAAAAAAAATTTCACATAACAAATAATATATTTATGAGTAGATTATTGAGTACATTATGTGGTGTAGCGTAAAGGTTTGAAGAAACCGATAATTTTCTCTTATTGTTGTGGGGGCATAATGTTCGCATTACTGCATAATGTTTATTTATTTTATATTTATATATATTCTTTATTTTTATTTTACTTTATACAAACGTTATATAAACGTTATATAAACGTTATATAAACTTTATCTTTTTCATCATTATTTATCACAATAATAAAGTAACATCAATTTTACCCAAATATGGCGCTTCAAAAAAAAACCCCAATTCTCCGAATATTTAAAGGATCAATCCCAAAAATGTTTTCAAAAAAAAAATTTTTTTTTCAAAATTTTAAATCTCAAAAAATCCCACGGTCTAAATTAAAATTTTCTTATAAAAAAAAAATAAACATCAAAAATAAAAAAATAAAAATAAAATAAAGGTCTCTTTTTTTTCTTATATATTTATTATATAATTTTATCGATTATGACTACTACAAAACCCACAAAATCAATTCAAGTTCAAATAGTTCCAAATAACCAGGTAATAGAAGTAGTTAGACAATTAACGTATGACCCTCTTTACAAAAAAGATGATGTAATTCAAATCACAGTTACCACCGTACCCAGAGCTCGACTTGAAATTGCTTCAATTGTCAGCATCATTCAATATTCGTGTGACATCGTCTTGTCAAATATCGTGAATGATGTATCTATAGATTTTTCGAAAGTTAGAATTCCTTTCTCTTGGCCAAATAAAACCATTCGTGAAATTCTTTTCGCCAACCACGATAGCCCCATAGCTCTCGAATTGGTCAGTAGAGATTGTCGTTTGGCGTTGTTTAGAAAAAATGATCACAATCGTAGAGATGATTGGTACGACCAAATAAAAAATTGGAGAAAAGACCTACCACTTCGATTTCATCTCATGTTAAATGAATTGGTTGAAAATGTATCGGCTCACGCACAATTAGAAGAATCCAGATTTTGTTTTACGACAGGTTTATTATTCGCTCATAAGAAAGTAAATATCTGAGTCACGTGTTATTATTGTTTTCAATAAATTTTTATTAAAAAAAAACTAATAACCATCGATAATTTTTTTTTTTTAGCTCTATTATGTTGTAGCTGATAGTGGTGTAGGTCTTAGAGGTTCACTCCGAGAAGCAATTGTTACGGAAGCTAAAGATTTAGCATCACGGGCATGTGCTCTACATTTGACACGACCACAATTTACTTCCAAGGGTATTGATAGAGGTCATCAAGGTGTTGGTTTATTTATCACTAGTGAATTGGCACAAATGAATCAAGGTTATCTTGAAATTCTTTCTGGTCTTCAGGAATATGAACAACGTGGTATGTGTAAATTTTATTATTATTTTATTTGAAAATCGATTTTATTAATCACGTGATTTATTACAGACAACACGGTAATGAGAGTACGAGGTATAACTGAATGGAAAGGAACAATGGTTCACGGAGCAATTAACCTTGATAAAGAATTTAATTATCGTCAAGCCATGAAATTATTTTCCGATCCTTCGAGACTTGCCAATGATCGTTTCCTAGTTTGTCAAATTCATTTAAATGTTTATGGTCAACGTACTTTACGTACTCGGGAACTTTGTGAAGAAATAATTCGTGATCTTGAACTTGCTGTTGAAAGGTCACCTAAAATTATTTTAGATTTTTCAGATATAGATGAAATTAGTCAAGCTTTTCGAGGATTCTTAAAACAATTTGTAGTAAGAAATTCAAAAATACAAATTATGATCATGGTACCTCCAAGTGCTGATGAAGAACTTAAAGAAGATTTACAAGAATTAATTGAACTCGCTGCTCAAAATAATATAACTTATGACGAATAATAATAATAATTATGAAAAATTACGTTTAATTTTTTTTATTTTTTTGGTTAAATAGAAATTTTTCATCATATTTATTGATTACAAGTTAAACATATATTCATATATATCCATATATTAAATATAATATTTTAAATTATTTATATATTATTTATTTTTTTCCTTTCTTTAAACATTTATCATCTTTCTACTTAATATACACGCGATGTATATATAAAATAAATTCCTTATAGAGGACAGATTTCTATCAATTATTTCTAAATCAATGATAAATAAATTATTAACTTGAACTTATTTGATTCAGCCGCCTACAAATTATAGGTGGCCTAGTTAAACCTTTGCATCATCACAAGTAAGGATACTATCTTAGAATTCCGGAAATCATTTTTTAAAAATATTAAATTTATATTTTTTAACTAGCCAATATCTTTTATTTCCAATGATCACCCGCTCATGCAATATACGTGATACATAATATAAAAAATAATTTCAATTATAGTTTATGGTTGAAATTTAAG